AATGTTCTTGCCTTAGGATCTTTTAAGTATGTTTTAATTTTTGGAGTAAGAGGGACTGATGCATGAAGGAAACTGCAGTTTTCCTTTTTTTTTTTACCTCCTCTCTTTTTTAAGATTTGGTTTAGTTTGTTAATTAGTGTGGATAACGATTAAGAAGAGTGTTGTTTACTCTCGTCTTCTGACTGAGATTAGTGACTTAATTTAGCGCCTAACAACAACAACGAGGATGTTACTGTAGAAAGAAAGGAAAAAAGTGCGGTGATCGGGGTAATGAAGAAGAGTGTTGGAGGCTGTACTCACGAGAGAGAGAGAGCGGAGATCTTGAAAGAGGCCGTGACAGAGGCTGAGCCTACTAACAACTGCAAGAGCACTGGAGCCAGAATTAACCTCCAAAATGATGATGCAATTAGCTGCCCGCTCCTTTAAAGTCCAAATAAAAATTTCTAACGATGTGAAGTGCGGATATAGATTTTTTTTTAAAACTCTCGTCCTTAGAGAAGCGACAATTTTTTTTTTGACAAATGAGCCTCTAAGGGTAAAAGAGTCAAAAAAAAAAAAAAAAAATCGTATTGCTTTTCATCTGTATTTCTTGCGTTGAGTCCCAGCCATCGAACGAGAAAATTAAGGTGTTGAACCACCCCGTGCTTGCTGAGATTCAGGCGGCAAGTGTAGTAAACACGGACATCACTCAGTGAGTTGAGGTTACACATGAGAATGAGAGAACCCGGAGAATAGGCTAAATTAAGATCTCTGCCCTTGTTATAATGCAAGATAAAAGGCCAAATTGCGCTTGAATGTCCTATAGTTTCACTAACCTTGCGGTTCGGTGTTCCTCATTTTAAAACTGCGTACTAAAATGCCCCCAGAATATTTAAGTGTTGCACATAAATGTTGCACTTTGGTCCCCTTGTTTACCCACTGTACCATATAAATACCCTCAGTTTGTAAATAACCTCACTTGAATACCCTAAAACTTCTAAAAGTTTCACTTTAGCACCTTCTGTTATGTTTAGTACCTTGCGTTATGTGCTATTCTTGGATACGTAGTGACAAGTTACGTCGTTTGGGTTTTAACTATGGGGCATTCATCTGCAATAATGAAATACTTCCGAGGCTTTTTTCCCCTGCTTAGTTTTAAAGGAGGAGTCACTTAAATGCAAGATTAGTGAAACTTTTGGGCATTTAAATGCATTTAGACAAGATAAAAAAAAAATGTGATTCTTCGTCCAGGGTCTGTAGGCAGTTGATAGTTTCACATCAATAACAATTTTCCTCATGGCAAGTAGAGTGAAAAGGAAGCACGCCCCTTGTTGTTCCCTGTGCTTCTGTAAGGGGCTGTTTGTTTGGGGTGAAACGAGCAGAAAAGCCCACAAACGAAAACCGACAATGGTTAAATTGTCAGTTTTTATGGTTTCTAGGTGTTTGGTTCGTTTTAAATGACCAAAAAATGTAGGACATAAATTGTGAGACACGTGTGATTTGGGGGAAAGTGTGTTTCCATCCCCAAAAGGCC